AACATCTCGACAGCCCTTCCTTCACCTGAGCGTCTCAGCTCAGAACACACTCTCCCTTGCTGCCATGTCTCCTGTCTTCCTCAAGATTCTCAAATGTTCTCTGCCCTTATAAGTCAAATTCCAACCCAATTCATTGGCTCCTTTGATGCTGAAGCAGTGGTGTAGGTCCAATGGCAATGCCAGGCACTGTATCAAAACATCATACTGTACACAGATTTCGGACATATGTTCAATAAATGTCCCCTTCACTTCTTGTTTTCTGATGCTCTTTCCCTCTCAGGCTTGCAGGGACATCCCCCCTCCATGGCAACAGCCACATACCCATGGCAACAGCCGTATGTCAACACGTCTGTAATGATCCGTATGAATTCTAACAGGATCAGTAATTATTGTCATTTGCTCTGAGCTAGGCAACACCATACAGGAATCTGTATGGTGTTCCTTTTTTTATGAAAACGTAGAGCTGAGGTCTGAATCTCAAGCCTCAGGAAGTAGTAGGCGACAGATGACAGACAAGGGGTCAAGTTTCAAAGATGATATCATGCAACTGCTGGCTCTTCCTTAGGGCTCAGTCCCCACCCTTCCTTTCCTCAGTGCTAACACTTTCCTAGTCTCTCTGCCATCAACACTCACTTTTTACAAGCTGTCACTGCAAAGTCAGAATGGCTGATAGCAGCCACCAGTGTCACCTCCCTCAGCTGAATGGCTTCTGAGCTTCAACCAAACATTTGGCTTGCAAAAAGGAAACAGGACAAGCAAGACTTAGCTTAGAAAAGCAGTCCAGTTAGTTCTCACCGGCAGACACACAGGCCAATCCTGCACGTACCCTAGGCTCAGTGAAAAAGCTTGGAGGAAAGGGGCGTGTCATAACAAAGGCAGAATACAAAGAAAAAAAAAAATCCTTCCCTCTGGTCTCCAGTTGGGGATTTCTGAAAGACACTATCTCTCAAAGCTCAGACCATTTTTAAACTCATCGTAGTTTGAGTGTAGTACAGCGGAGGGTGACCTTGAACTCTCAATCTCTGTCACCACCTGCCAAGTGCTAAGGCTACAGGTATGAGCCATGGCACCTCAGTGGTCAGGAACTTTTGGTGATGAAATTGAACTCACTCATTTGATTTTTCTTAGATAGCCAGCTTGTGGGTGTTTCATGTCCCAGCTCGGCATATCCACTTCCTTCTGGATGCTGCTTTATCTCTAATCTTTTAAAACCGGGGTTGCCTGGTGCAGATTGATACCTCTTCTCTTGGGGATTGATAACATAATGGCCTATTTATTTTTTTTTGTTCACATCCTGTGTGAAAAGGGCACTTAAGGCTGCTAATGAAAACGAGTTACATCTCACTGCTGGCCCAGCCAAAGTCCTGCTCTCTGAACTTGCTCCATCAGCAGTGCTACTTCTAGAAGCTTCTACAGTGACTTCCAGATGAACTTAACTGCTATATTCCTCAGCACTTGGGACTGATGCTGTTTGAGTATCTTTCTTTCAGACCTATGTCTTTTTAATTAACTTGCCAGGCCCTGGAAAGCAAGGGTGTGCTGTATGTATCTTTCTATTCTTTCTGCTTTGCTGTGTGGGACTTATCACCTGTCCATACCTCCTGGGAGAAATACTTTCATATTTCTTTGGTATTAAGAGGAAATTGCCAGTCACACATTGGTGAGTTTAGGGGTCTCCTGGTCCACTGAGTAGCCTACTGACACACTGTGAACTATAGGTTTCAATTTTCTTCTGTGTCCAATACTTACTTACTTACTTACTTACTTACTTACTTATTTAATTTATTTTTAAAATCACAAGTCCCTCTGTCACAACATCTTTACTCCGGCATTATTAACTCCTTGAGAGTGCAGCATTTAGGAGAAGATACTAAGTTCCAAGCATTCATTGATTAAGTACACTGGGATCTGGGTAGTCACACCCCATCTCCTTTAGAGCTCCAGTCACCAGCACAACCCTAAAGTCCCAGGTATCTATCACCTCTGACTCTTTCCAGCATCTGCTCTGTGTGGGTCCTGATCTGATTCCCTGATCCACGGTGTCCATTCCTCTGAGATATGCCCTCTTTATCCTGTTCCCTAGAGAACCTATCCATCCTCAGCCACACCCGGTACCCCTCAGCTACGAAGCTCTCAGAGAGCATGGTATAGCCTTCTTCCCTGCTCTGTTTCAGATGCATGACCATAAATTCCAAATAGGCCCTTGGGACACTGGTGTGTCTTGACTAAATTTTCATAATATACAGGCTCTCATTCCTAAGATAGCTCATGTCCTATCCCTTGCCGTCCAGTGGACACATTCCTTGTTCCTTCTCTCTGCTTCTTAGTTCACTGGGGATATTGAAGTGCTCTGAGGGCTCTCCAATGCTCTCGTTCTCCTTCTTGCTGTGGTGCTCACATCTGTTGACTGCTTCATCATTTCTTCCTTTTGGGCATTTCTCTTGGCTCTTGCCTATGCCATTGCTGTCCCGCTCTATCTGACCTTTCCCATTAGACTATAAACATTAAGGCCTAACTTCCACTTTTGAGAATTGCCCCTGGATCTTTCTCAAGCAACACCCTTTCCTAGTGTCTCTGGCAAAACTCTCCCTAAGAGTTGTCTGCCTTCCCCCATCCCATTTGATCTTCCATTCTCCCTGGAGGATGCATAGTAGGGCTTCTGTTCCCAGCACTCTATAGGAGCTATCAGCCTCACCTGATTGCTGTCCACCATTCAGGACCACCTCACTGCCAAGGCGACTTCCACTTGCTCTCCCTGGGAGCTGTGTGTCACACAATTGACTATTCTTGTTTTTCCCAATTTTCCTCCCACCTCCTGGGTTGCACACAGTCCTCCTTTCTTTTGTTGCCTGCTTTCCTCCTTGACTGACACTTCTGAAGCTTGGTTCTTCTCTGTCTTTTCTCTAGATGCCTCCTGTGACTCTCGCTGTACACATTGGTGTACCCAAGGTTTTACCCTTAGCCCGTGTACCCTCAAAGCTCCAAGTTCACACACCTTCTGCCTACCTGAAAGATACTCAGATGTCTAAAAGACATTCCCAGCATAGTGGGAGAGCTATGTTCAGATGTCCCACTTTTCACAGCCTTCCCCTCATTTCTCATTCTCTATTCTTTTCAGTCTCTGTCAAATATATCACCATTTATGCAAATTTTACTTTGACCAAAAAAAAGACTCTACATGACATGATCACGTGATCTTATCTACTCTTGCCCTGGCTTGAGCAGGTGAGGCTTTCCCATCTTTGCAGCCACTGGTCCCTCTGTCAATCTGGGATTTTACTAGCTTAGTTCAGTCAGGGCTCTGCTGGAATATCTATCCCCTACACTCCATGATAGTTCTCAGAACACCGGTTCCAGGTTCCATTGTCCTTATGCTACCTGGCCTCTCATTCTGGGGACTTTCTGGCAGTGCTCATTGGTCCTTCACATTTTTAGGTCATATGTGCACATGTCTATTTCATGAGTAAGGACTTTCTGCCTTGTTCACCCTCAGTGGCTGAAACAAGGGCCCAGCAAGCATTTGTGGGGTGAGAGGGTGCAGCTATACTAGTGTACTCTCCGGGAGGCAGAAAGAGATGGAGTGTGGGAAAGAAAGGAAGCCGAGTGGCTAGAGTAACGAGCGTCACCCCAGTAACCTCAAAGCTCCAACATCCTTCCAGGAAGAGACAGGGACAGGGACAGGGACAGGCAGGCACGAGGAAGGCCACGTAGGGTCAGCCTCTGCAGTAGCCCCGATCCACAGAAATCCTGCAACTGTAGAAATCATCTGTGCCTCTACTGTCTCAAAATGTAACTACTGGCCACAGCTGAGTGCTTGGAAAGTGGCTAGTGGGATTGAGAGATGGAATTTGGGGATAATTTAATTTTAGTTAACATTAAAACAGCTACATGAGGCTGGTGGCTATATTGTTGAAAAGTATCTTTCTTTCATGCGTGGTAGCAGTGAAAGTTGTTGAAAAGACTGGTCAACATCTGAGAAACAGTTCACACTCAAAAACCTAGACCTGTTATTCTGACACAGAATGGCACTGTGTAACACAGTATAGTACTGTAATTGACACTGGGATCAAAGGAACTTTAGTGGGAACACTAGCTATGATTTTGTGTTTGTTATAGTTGGTGTTAACCAGTATGTGAGTCTGTATTTTAGTTTACAAACTAAAATAGCAAAGAAGTGCTTTGGAAAGGCATGGAAGGCCTTTTGGAGATAGGAGACTGTTCCCAGTGGATTGGCTTGTTGTTGATACTTATATATAATGAGCTAATTAATTTTGACAACAGCTAATTTTGCATCCGCAAAAATTGGATTTGCAACATTGTTGTACTGTTTTCAAGCTATCATCTGCAACTTCCGGGATGGTTTTGGATAAGGTTGGTGTCTGTTTTCAAACTCACTGCTAAAATGAACGGGTCACATTTGCTTACTGGAGTTTTTAACGGTGGATTCTCTACGGGTTTTTAATGAGTTTGAGCATGAAAAAGAAAACTCTTCCACACTGAATTCAGGGAACAAAATGAGCAGGGACAAAGCCTAAGCAGACACTCTAACAACACAGCGGGGTGACCGAGCTAACTCACAAGGACACCCACACGTTTGCCCAGAACAAGCATGGTGTGTATTTTTCAAGCCAAAAGGACTTTCTTCCCCACTCATAGCAGAACAGGAGAAGTATCTAGTAGTCTGCTTTGAGAACTCTAAAGAGACTGACTGGATTTAAGTTAACCAGGTTTAAGGACTTTAAGAAACGTTAGCATTCTCCTTAAAGAGACGAACAAATCTGTAGCAGCCAGACATCTTTACTGCAGTTGAGGAAGTAGTTCCCTAAGACCCAATGCAAAGACGACTGGGATAAAAGGGGAGAAGAAACTCCAGTTCCCACCAGGGAGTCCTTCCTGTGCCTTTGAAATGCACACCCCTTTTCCACCTTAGCTGGTGGGTCTCCTACGGAGACTCCCCACCTCCTCCCTAACTGTTAAGCAGTGGGGCTGAGAACACTCACCAATGGGCATCACGAGGAAGAACGGCAGCCAGCAGAGGACGAAGCAACCCACCACGATGCCCAGTGTCTTGGCGGCTTTCTTCTCTCGGGAAAACTTGAGTAGCCTCACGGAGAAGTGAGTCTTATTCTTGGCACTGCTTACTCCGCCGCCTTCTGCAGGGGCATTTTTACGGTGGATACGGAGTGTCACTTGTTCCGAGTCTGACTTGTCGGTCTTGAGGCCGGACTTGAGGCCCCGGCTTTCTCTCTTGGCTACTACGTAGACTCGACAGTACATAACCAGGATGATGGCCAGTGGCACGTAGAAAGAGCCCAGCGCTGAGAACAGCACGTAGCCCGGCTCCTCATTGATCTGGCAAATGGTCTCATCCTCCGGAGCCGGCTGCCTCCAGCCAAACAGGGGTCCGATGGAGATGACCAAGGAAAGCGCCCAGACGCAGAGCAGAGCTCTGACGCCCCTCCTCTGGGTGACAATGGTGGGGTAGCGCAGCGGGTAGCTCACACCAATGTATCGGTCGATGGAGATGATGCAGAGGCCCATGATGGACGCTGTGCAGCATAAGACGTCCACCGCCGCCCAGATGTTGCAAAACACCCTGCCAAAGGCCCAGTAGCCCAGGATCTCAAAGATGGCAGAGAAGGGCAGCACGGTGGAGGTGAGGAGGAGGTCTGCCACAGCCAGGTTGACAATGTAGTAGTGAGTCACCGAGTGCAGATGCCGATGACAGGCCACTGAGAGGATCACTAAAATGTTCCCCAGGACTCCGAAAATAATGAGGCCCCCCAAGATCACCCCAAGCAGAATGGCCTTAGAAATGTTCACTGGTGCTGGCGGGTGGGTGCTGTTGGAGCCTTCGGAAGCATTTTCAGAGAGAAGCACCATGGTCCCAGGGAGGGGTCAAGGTCCGGCTTTGGATGGCCACCCTCTGGTGGGGGGCGGAAGCAGGTGTGAGGAAGCCAAGTCAAAAAATCTCAGTTTGGGGGAATCCTGCTATCTGGGTTGGGCTGGGGGAGGGAGAGAACACACCTGTTGCAAACCACCAGGGGCAGCCCTGGGAACCCTCAGAGGGGCAGGTTAAGGCACAGAGCATTAAAGGTGACATGACCAGGGGAGCTCTGGGCTTCTGAGAACACCTTTCCAAGGTTTAAAAGGACATGCTGTGAAAGCAACCAGAAATTACAAAACTCCGCTTTTCTGTGCTGTCTGATCCATCCTATGCATCCACACAACTAGAAATTCACAAGTCTTTGCTGAAATGGCAGCTAAGTGTGGCTCAGCCTTCGAAGCTCAAGGCAGGGACGCTGGGCATCTGGGCGCTGCAGCTGACCCGCAGTTACTCTCAACTTGGCCACCCATCTAAGGGATACCACTAGCGCTAGCTCCAGCTTCTAGGAGTTCTGGTTAGGTGACATAGGTCTGAAATATTTACTGAGACCGAAGTGACCCTGGAGCTTCGTTTATCCGAATCCAGCTGAAAATAAACAAACACAAAGAAAAAGGCAGACCGTCAGCCAGGAGCCCTGGACAGCCAGGCCCTGGGGAGCTCGCCCAGTAACCAGACTCTTGCTGTGAGCACGCCGCTCTGCAGTCCATGAGTGGCTTTGTGCGGCCCTGACGTAGGCAACACGGGACAAGGGAGGGGACTGCGTGCTTTGTCCCCCTCTGCAGTTCTCCCCAATCCTCCCCTCTGGGAAGCTGCCTTTGAATGCTTCACCTAGCCTTGGCTGACCAAGTTCAAAATTTAAAACAAAAAGCAAGCAAAATAATCAAAACAATCTCCGCACCTCGAATAATGACAACAAAACCCCAAGCTGCAGTAGCTGGAAGCTGAATTTCGAGAGATAGGTTGGAGAAAATAAAACCCCGAAACGCCCCCTTCCTGCACCACCACCTCAGCTCCACATGCTGGACTGCAGCTGCAGTTGTCGCACAGAGGCTAGCCGGTGGAATCTGGAGGATCCTCCTTGTCGCCCTTTGAACAGGTTGCACCCTAGTCACCTGGAGAGGGCGGCCTGGGAGTGCGAACCTTAGAGAGCACGGAACCGCAGGGCCACGCGCACGCTCACTCCCGCGGAATTTGCGCTCGTGGGAGCAGAGCGCGCGGGTCTGCCTACCAGCCAAGCCACCCTCAAGAAAGAGCCAGGTTCCCAGCAAAGCCAATCCCCAGGGCTAAACAGGGCCCTGAAGGATTTAGGCAGAATCTCCAAGGGGCGCTCGCTCTAGGGATTCCAGTCTTGAGCCACACCCGGGCTTTCTGGGAGACCTGGGTGGGAGCGCATTACTCCTCGGAACAGGCTTTGCTAGTAGCAGTCACTGCGGATTCCTTAAGGGACTTAAAAAAAAAATCAAGTCCCCGTGCCAGCAGTCGGGGGTGCCTGGGATTTTCTGGGCTAGGGGTCATGATTTACCTAAACCGATTTCTACACTGCAAAAGGACCAGACTAGGAGACACAAGACAGGGGTTTGGGGCTTGGGAAGGTGCATGCTTTGTCTTTCGGGGTTGAGCCCTAAAGCAGCTATCTTAGGAGCAGGCTGCTGTGAAAAATCACAAGTTCAAGCCCTCACAGGTGATAACCAAACCGCGCCACTACTGCGGAACCCGCTTTCTCCCACCTGGGGTTTATATGTGGGTTAAAATGACACTTGTTAACGAGAAGGTAACTTCCCATGGCAAATCAGGGAAACCTGGTGGTTTGGGGTGCTAGTATCAAAGCCGGTCCCAAAGCAGAGAGGCGGAGCTAAGTGGAGGTCTTGGGGCATACCGGCCCACCCCATAACCCGGCCCTGCGGGATGCCCGCGCTCCGCACCGCTGCGCTACTCACCTGCTGCGCGGCTGCGGAGGCCCTGACGCCAGGAGAAGCGGACCTTCAGTCCTTCCTTCAGAAGCTTCAGCACCAGCTTCTCTGCAGGAGGACAGGGAACAGTTTCCAAAGACCAAGACCCAGTCCTTAGCACCCGCTGACTCACCCCACCACGGCCGAGCACTTCAAACTCCGGGGTCGCTTCTGTTTCTCCTGGATCTTTAAAAATAAAGACTGAAAACAGAGAAAAGAAATGACAAATACAGCGAGCCAATAACTCCACGATCACCAGTTTGATATTCAGTTCCTGTACACCAGAAAAGAGCGGCTCGTAACTTTGCTGCTGGGGTTGACGTAGTACAGGCAGGCGGTAGCCTAGCGAGTACCGTAATCTCCAGCTGTTACCGTATTCCTCTGCAGCAACCCGCACAATCTCGTAAAACTTGTCCTCCTTCTTACTCAGGTTATTGTCCTCCTTTTTACTCAGAAAGTGGATTCATCTCTCTCCCTCTCCATTTCTCGGTCCCTTTTCGATCTCTCCTCCGTGTCTTCTCTTCCCGTTTACCCCTTCCTCTTTTCTACCCTCCTCCCTCCACTCTTGATTCTGATCCCCTTCCCTCTCCTTCCCTTCTCTGGGTCTCCACCTATCAGAGGCTGATATATACATTAAAAAACAAACAAACAAAAACAACAACAACAAAAACACAAAAACCAACCAACCAAAACCAGACTCCCTTCCAAGTTCTTACTGAATGGATAACAGAATTTCCCCAAAGGTTACTTTGAAAAGTTCAGTCCAACTCCTGTTCTGGGTTTGTTTTAGTCAGGAAGTGTGTGGCTGGTGGTGGCAAATGTGCAGGTGCTTGACATTATTTGCAGATGTTTAAAAAGTACACAAGCCCAGAGATGATTCCTTAGATTTGATTGCAATAGTTCAAGGAAAACAAGGCCTTTTAAAATATGACCCACCTTTCATTTGGTTACACAGAGTTTTAAAAATTATATGTTCTCAAGGCAGTCTCTCCCACAACTAGTGTCTTTAAGTGCATTTGTTTCCAGTTCTCAAAAGAAAATATAATTTTGGAGGAGAGTTTCTTATCCTTCTTCTTTTTTAAAAAAAATTGTTTGAGAGGAGAGTTCACACAACCAATTTTATTTATTTATCTCTTCTAGACAAATTCCATGCTCTGCTTAACTTAGGATTATGGGAAGTTAAGAGAATTTCAGAGAATTAAGAGCAAACAAGATTTTCCCCCAGTATGGTTCCCATTTCCTACATCTTTAATTGTCATTGACTCTGACCGAGCATGATTTTTACAAATGCTTGTTAGGATCCCTTAAATCTGGTAAGACAGAGGTAACCTAGGAGCTTGGGGCTGCAGCTGCATGCAGTAGGTTCAGTCTTCTCCTACATGCAGTAGGTATAGTCTTCTCTTGCATGCAATAGGTAGTCATCTCTTGCATGTAGTAGGTAGTCGTCTCTTGCATGTAGTAGGTAGTCATCTCTTGCATATAGTAGGTAGTCGTCTCTTGCATGTAGTAGGTAGTTGTCTCTTGCATGTAGTAGGTAGTCGTCTCTTGCATGTAGTAGGTAGTCGTCTCTTGCATGTAGTAGGTAGTTGTCTCTTGCATGCAGTAGGGAGTTGTCTCTTGCATGCAGTAGGTAGTTGTCTCTTGCATGCAGTAGGTAGTCATCTCTTGTATGTAGTAGGTAGTCGTCTCTTGCATGTAGTAGGTAGTCATCTCTTGCATGTAGTAGGTAGTCATCTCTTGGATGCAGTAGGTATAGTCTTCTCTTGCATGTAGTAGGTAGTCATCTCTTGCATGTAGTAGGTAGTCATCTCTTGTATGTAGTAGGTAGTCATCTCTTGCATGTATGTATGAAACAATGACTAGGATCACTAGAGCCCTATATTTTTGCTCCTTCTCCTCAACAAACATGTGTTAACATTAGTCATTTTCCAAAAAATGATGTTTAGAGACTTTTAATAACAGTATGCCACAGAATGTAGAGACAGCTCCGAGACCAAAGGTTCTAGGACACTGAAGACTTAGTACTTAGATTTCTTTCTCCTTTATGTATAAAATCTTATCACCCCTCAGCCTAGAGACATAATACCCATACCTACTACATCTGATTTGTTTTGATTTTAGTAGCATTTAAAGAGCATATGCATAAATGGCTTGCTTCTTCACGAACTTGGTGTACAGAGGAAGCCAAGTGGATACACAGACAAGGAATTCAGTTCTTTCAACCCTGGAGACTAAGATCCCTCCCCATTTGGAGGAGACTGTTCTAGAAGCTCTAGGACTGTCACCTCTTGTCAAATAAATGTAGAGGAGTTGTTCTTTGGGAATCTTGTCCCCTAGAGGGAGAGCCATTGCTTAGTTTTATATTCTCTTATCCTTCATTATGAACATTCCTTCTTGTTGATACCTGTTACATAGCAGATAACACATGTGGTTTTTTGTTTGTTTGTTTGTTTGTTTGTTTTTTTCGAGACAGGGTTTCTCTGTATAGCCCTGGCTGTCTTGGAACTCACTCTGTAGACCAGGCTAGTCTCGAACTCTCGAACTCATATATCTGCCTGCCTCTGCCTCCCAAGTGCTGGGATTAAAGGCATGAGCCACCATCTCCCAGCTCCAACACAAGTGGTTTTATCTGCAAGAAAACAGGCTATGGAGGGAAACATGAACTAAGATCTTTGGAATTTCTAAACCTCTAAACTCAACACATGAGATGATGTCCAAACCAATCACTAACCAGCTATTGCACAAACCACAGTGGCCATTTGCTTCAACCAGGTAGGTTTCCAAACCTCATCAGCTTTAGAATTTCAGTCTTTGCAGCTTGAATTCTCAGCACAAGCCTTCTGGTTGCTAACCCCCAATTGACGAATGGGAAGCTAGTATTCTGCTACTTATTCTTAATTTTCTTATCAGCTTATATTTATTATCTGAAATAATAGCTTATAAACATGACATTTTTATTCAAATGTAATGTGCTTTGATCATATTTACCCCATTATCCTCTATTTAGTTCCTACATTTTTCCAAATAGTTCTACATCCTACCTTCATGTCATATGTAATATTTATGTATGTTATACACATAGATGCATAGATCAAGTTACACACATACAACGTCTTACTTCCTGAGTCCAGCTTATTTCACTTAGCACAATGATTGGCAGTTCCATATATTTCTTGCAAATGACATCATTTTGTTCCTATGGCTGGATAAACTTTGTGTGCCTACCACACACGTTCTTTAGTCACTCTAGTCATCCTTTAAAGCATGGTGACACCAGTGACTCAGACTCCTGGAAGGTGCAGTGAAGAGACTATGACCAAGAAGACCCGAGGAGAAAGTCCCACCTCCTGTGAGGCTTTTCCGGGTTTTGGGTCTTGACTTCCTAAGTTTTGAAGAGAACAATGAAACTCAACAAGACTGTTAGTGATGCTTCATGAAATCAACTCTGAAGAGCGTAGCTTGCGGTCCTGATTGATGCTCACCATTAATCTTCTGAATGAATTAATCTTGTGAGTTCCTTTATTCCTGCACATTTTTGGTTTACTTTTAGTAGAAATATGCCTATAATCTAGCATAGGCCATGGATGCTGAACTTGAAATTTTACTTGGGAAAATGATGACGTCAGAAGGCTCCAACGTTGCACACTTGGAAAAGCTGACCAAGGACACCTGCTTTTAAGCAATTGAGCCCCTTAGCCCAGGCCTTCTGAGAGCCACCTGTTGGCAGTAGCAAGTACAAATCTGTGATGTCTGTCCAGAGAGGATGGAGACAGGAGAAATTCGAGGTTCAGGCTCCAACCAGGAACCAAACTTTAGTCCCATGGGTCCCTTTATGTCAAGGAGAAGTCTGTGGCTCAAGAGAGTCAGAGCTGGACTCTCTAAAACTCAGAAACTCAAGGTGAGGTTTCTCTGGCTTCATTCTGAAGTATTGTGTGAGCAGTTGTGGTGGGGTCAAGAAATGCCGGTGATGGCGAGGGTCTGGGAAAGCTTGTGGATGACACCGCTTGATTGAAGGATTGCAGGATAAGCCAGATTCAGGTTGATAGGTAGAAATGGGAGAGGCAACTGGACAGAGGGAAGTCATAAGGCATGTGCTTCTCTCTCTCTCTCTCTCTCTCTCTCTCTCTCTCTCTCTCTCTCTCTCTCTCTCTGTGTGTGTGTCTGTGTGTGTCTGTGTGTGTGTGTCTGTGTGTGTCTTGTGCGCTTGTAAGCATTCAGTAACTTTGGAAGAAGCAGTCTGATTGGAGAAGAACTGGCCAATCAGAACATACCTGGGCCTCTTAGGCTAGTAGGATTGAGTTAACGATTAATGAGAAAGAGTAAAAGATTTGGAGCATTAAAAAAAAAAAAAGGTGACCTGTCAATCAGCTTCTAAAAACAATGCACAATGAAATCAGGACGTTTTCTGGGATCTATGATGAGAAGCAGAAGATGACTTAACGTTAGCATCTGTCACTGAGACCTGCGTTATCTGTTAATTCTCTTAAGACTTAGGAAGTTAAAACAGGAGGAAAATGAAAAGCAGAAGGCTGTGGTTAAGGTAACAAATCACAATTCCCCAAATGAGCACTGCGCTCCCGTCCTCGGACAACCCACGGAAACCAGACAGTGCACAGACATCGTGGCAGGAAACTTCCTGAGATTGTAATTATGTCTTTGCCATCAATTGCCCCAAACCACAGCATCCTGGGAAAATAACCTCCTGCAAACAGGGTGAGGTCACATGCCATCTTCAATTTACAGTATAGCCCAGTAGGGCTTCCCTTAGCCCTAGCTGCTCAGGCAGCTTTGTTCTTGTAGAGCATATATGACTTGAGGCACATCAATCAAGAGTACTTGGTCCCTTGATCAAATAGTATCTCAAGTCTAAGGCAGCTAGCACTCCACCAAACACCCTTGCTTACGTCCCCCTTTATTGCATGGTTTGGATCTTCCCGTCACAGATATTTCTTCAATAAGTTCCTTTTATGCCTAATTATGCCCTCTTTTCTGCTTTTTGGAAGAGTGAAATTAATACCTTGAGTGAGCACTTTTGAGATTTCTTATTTCTTCTTCTCACAGACATTTAAAGGAACATGTTATAAACTTGTTTGCAGGGATAGACTCTCCTTGTTTGCTATCCCATGACCAAATATGACTTGGGCCACGTCAATCAACTGTTCTTGGTTCCTTGATCAAATAGCATCTCAAGCCTGCTAAGACAGCATGTCTGCCACCCCACCAATCACCCTTGCTTCCATTCCCTGTCAAATGTATGCCTAGGTTACTGAAGAACTGCATCTGCCTGTGTTTCATGTGCACATTCCATGAGTTTGTAAGATTTTCCCTCTGTGATGAGGAAGGGTGACCTCATGGA